TCTGTCTTACAGTTATTTATTTATTGTACCATTTATTGAGTACCTATTACTATATGTCAGGGTCTTAGGGTGTTGTATTTCTAATACTTACATCAATCCTAAAAAAAAGCTGTGTCTTATCACCATTTGCCCCTGAGGAAGGAGTCCTGGGCAGGTCTGAGATTTAGGCTCAGGTCTGTCTGCCTCCGGAACCCCAACTTCCCTCCACAGGATGCGATTTTGTTCATCTGTACATCCTCCACACCAAAACCTTCCACCTGCCTCTCTTACAAATGTTTATTGAATAAATTTGAGATCCCTATTGACTACAAATGGCAAGGAAAACTCTTGTGGTTCTTGAATCAAGAAAAAGGGAGAAGATATTCAGGTGAGGAGAGAATCATATTGAATGCCCTTCATTTACCCACATGTAATATAATGAAACCATTTCCTATTCTGTCCATGTGTTTTTAGTACTATGCTATGCAATTCTTTGTGTAAAATGCCTAAAGATCAGTGTGACATGGATAGGGACTGTTGCCTGGAGTTATTCCTAATTATGGAGACACTTCTCTATGATTGGCTAGGAATCTGTTCCTTGACCCACAGATGGTTTCAAGGTAACCTTCTGAGATTGAAAGTTAGCTCTTAAGTCATACTCCTTCATAGTAATAGTATAATGAAATACACACCACTTCATGGATAATTTTTCAAGTATTTGCATAGAATTCTACCATTTCCCACAGCAGAGAAAGGAACTCTGAGTGTGCTCCTGGAACACTGAAGTCATCCACTTCCATACCTTTTTCTTTTCTCTTTCTATTAATATTTAACATGTGAGAATCCATAGGCTTTGGCCGTGTCTGTTTTCTCCTGAATCAGAGCACAATTTCCTCATTTCACCTTTGTATGTCCATAGTAAGCATGTGGGCGGTGGGCTGGGCAAATGAACTGCATATGTTAGGTAGGACCTTGGACGGTAATGATAGAGATGGTTTGGCAAGTGGAATATTTGGGTGGCAAAACTTAAAAAAGAAAATACAGGACATCTTGTCCTTTATTACACAAGAGAGTGGTAAACACGAGCATGAAAGACAGGCAAGGATTCAAATCCTCTTCTTAATCACTTGCTGAGCAGCCCTGGGCAAGTAACCCTGTCACTCTGAGCCATGTTTTCATCTTTCAAATGGGGATGTGTAACTTGCAGGTTTGTGAAAAGCTAATAGATAAAATGTTCAATGTCTTTTCTTTAGTGGATGCTTAATAAACGGTACCTACCATTATCATATCTGAACCTTGTCTGTACTTCTATGTTTGGGTGGACTTTTTGCATGAAAGAGGAAAAGATGCGAAATGCATTAATGACTTTGCCCCTCCACACTTGTTGCTTTTTGCATCTGTGCTTCCTCTCCTCCCACCTCAGCCCATGGGAGCCACTTGAGAAACTGATATATTAATGTTCATAGGGTTCATCTATAATAATTATTAAATATGCCTGATAATGTTTTATAAATTCCTTGAGAATTTAAAACATTTCTAGAGATTACTGATAATACCCTAGAAATATCCCTCTTTAAAATGATGTTACTGGAACCTCCTGGAGGGGTGTGGATACTAAGGTGCAGACCTGTTACCTTGATTTCTAACCCCATGGGCCTACTAAAGTCTGTATCCACTAACCTGGAAGTCTCTTTCAAATAAATACCTTGAGACTTGTCAAGAGACAAAATGACAATGCTTCTGATAAGTTTAACATGTACTTAATTTCACGGCAATTCAAGGGGAATTGTGTATATTTTGTTTGTTTGTTTGCTTGTTCTGTTTTTTACATATAACTTTAACTTCTGGCTGAAATTCAGTCCCTATCCATACTTTGCAACTGGAAAACTAATACTATTTAGTAAGAAAAGGGAGCAGTGTGAAACTTTGATAAAGGCACTTTACCTGAACAAATTTCAAAGGGATCCATTTAAAATGAAACTAAGTGGCACTTAACTGGTTTGCACATTGGGACCTATTTATCTCAGCAAAATGATTAAAGTCTCGATTTATCCCCAAAATTGATCTTATTACCTTTAATTACACTAGAAGCTTGTTAAAGACTTGCAGGTTCTCTCTGTACCTTTAAACTGTACTTTATACAGGTAGTAATAATTGAATATTGGATAGAATAACTTGATTTCTAAAGAAATATGTTTCTAATATTTTTCCTTTTTTATTGCAGAAATTGAAACAAGTTGAAGAAACAAAAGAGGATCCTGAGAATAGATTATCTAAAATTTCCCTGGAGTCATTCAATAAATATCACAGCAATACTGCGATTTTGTTAGAAAAAGAGAACTCTCTGAACAAGGTTGAAGAACAAAAGGAAGAAAAAGAAAAAAATGAAGAAGCATCTTTGAGTAGGTCTGACAGGCCCGCTGTAGACAATTTGGAATCTTTGAGTGATTCCTTATACGACAGCTTCTCTTCCTGTGCGAGTCAGGGTTCAAATGACACATAAAGGACTTTTTTTCTCCGTAGTGAGCTGGAAATGGAGCACTTAAGAAACAGGGCTGGGGAGGCACAGGCAGAGAGAACAGCAATAAACTATTATAACACAGGAGCCTCTGTCGTCAGATGCAGCTTTCCTCTCTGACAGGGCACTGTAGACTCCATCTGTTGTGTTTCATGAGGATTAAAAGTAAACACACCCACAATACAGAAGTCTTACTTTTGCACTTTTTTTTAAATACTTGTACAGAAGTTGTAAATTTTTGGGAAAAGAAATTATATTTGTAGCAAAAAGAAAAGCAATAAATTGAATCAGTGCCATGCTCTTGAAATGATGTACTAAGTCTTCTAGACATGGATGATAATATATTTTTTAAAAATTCCAACTCAAGTTTTCTTCAGCTCCTTGTCCTAGTACCCACGTTGTTCGTGGTGCACTCCTCAAACCTAAAACAGGGCCTGTGGAAAAGCAGAGCGCTCACTGTGATCTCCGTCTCACGATCGCAATCTGATAGAAACTTCAATTTCAGTGTAGTTTTAGAACTGTACTGAATCTAGATTCAGGCTCTAGTAATAGGTGTGATTCTACTTCTACCGAGAAAGGTGAAGGGTGCTGAAGTGCGACCTTGATCCATCGGGATGTGCATCCAAAGTGGCCTAATTCTAGTTCCAGCAGCAGGCTTTCCCTCCAAACATTTCCTTACATGCTTTTCCACTTAGTGCTTCTCTATGATTCTGGACAGTTTTTGTTTATTTCCCTGCTCTTTTTATTAAAATCTGGGCCATCTAGAATGAAAACAAATTTCTATTTGCAATGTTGACTTTAAAAAGTTAAAATGGTTGGTGCTATGAAAAATCTCACTTTTTAATATCCTTTTTTCTACAAAGTCTGTTTATATGTAAGGATAAATTCTATTTTAAAGGTTATGTGTATTTTTTTCTAGACATGAACTATTTATAATTGCTTTTGTACAGGAGCTTGTAAACTAGGCATAATAAAAATATTTTTAGGATCTGTATGGTTACTTTAGTACACACTTGTTTCTTTAAAGACTATGGTATGACCAGTGTTACTTAGTAAATTTATGCAATTTGAATTTTGCTGTCTCAAATGAAAATTATGTAAAATGTCATTGTCTTTCAGACTTTTGAAAAATCTTTTGTTTCATTTCTGAATAAAAGGCATATCACAGTTGAACCCTCTAAATTTGTTTAAGGAGGCTGTGGCCCAGTTAATTATTTGAATCTCAATCGTGCTCCAAGAATGAATTCCCCAAGGAATAAATAAACTAGCCCTCTCTCTCCAGAGATAGTAATTCCCCAATTGTCAGATCAGAGTCTGCACGCAAACGAGTAATGGTCAAGGCATTGCAGTCTCCCCGAGCGGTTAACTAGCTAGAAAAGAAAGGAAAGGGTTGGGGGCGGGCGGGGTGAACCGGGAGAGAAGGAGCCTCAGGGAGATGTGGAACGATCTCTGCAGAGGAATTACAAGAAAGTCATTTAAGCCCATTTCCAGACCTGCTCTGCTGGCAGGATGGGGAAATAAATGAACAGCGTCCCGGCCTGCGTGAGCTGCCTCCAAGAGGTGGCCCGAGGGGAAGGTGAAGAGGGGCAAAGCTTATGAAGCTATTTCCACAGGAATGGATGCTCCCTAGGGATTTGGGGGCGGTGGGAACGTGCGGGTTGGGGGCGGGGGCATCAAGACTATCCGGCGGGCCGGCGCGCTCCAGTACCACCTGCTGCAAGGCTCGGCGGCGAGAACGGCGAAAGCAGCAAGCGTAGCCCTTCGGCGTTGGCGTCCCCCGCGGTACTCAAGGTGGGTCGCTGGAACAGAAGAGGAAGAATGGGAGGAGGGAGAGGCGGGAGCAGCCGAGGACCGAGTCCCGGGCGGGGAAGGCGCTGTACAAGTGTGGACGCGGGAGCATATACTAGTGACCCATGGCTTCGAGGTTTCAACCACAAGAACAGGATGAAGCTGCCCGGCCTTTTGGAGAGTAGCAACTCCCTTCTTCGCCCCAATTTGCTTTCTGGTGGTAGTCCCCGGGGTGTCCCTCTCCTAGTACAGTGTCACCGCACCCGCCAGCGGTGCGCTCGGGGCAGCACTCAGGAACGAGTGCTGCCTGGAGCTAGCTCTCGGGTCTGGGCAGGGGCCCCGCCACACCCCGCCCACCCCGGCTCAGCTGAAGCCAAGTCTGGCATTGACTGAGGGGCTACTTGGAAGAAGAGAAGGCGCAACTGAGCGAGACACCCTAGGGCGTCTGCAGGTGTGCAACTGCCAGATGCACAGGAGCGCGCCCCCAGCCCCAGCTCTTTGGACCGACCCCTGCTGTTGGGACCCGTCAGCCGCGGGGATCTGGCGGGCCCCCGGAGCGCAGCGGTCGTAGGTAGTGCGCACCTACCGCCAGAGGACCCGCGGGGCACGTAGTCTTCGGACCCCACCCCGCAGGTCCCTCAGTCTGGGTCCCGCCAGTCGCCGCCGCACCTGCTGCGTCCTTCTCCAGCTTCACGGATCTCCAGCCTCCCCACCTCGGAAAACTACGCTCTCCGTCTGCCCCTGAGCTCCCTGTCCTAGGGACTGGAAGAGACGGGAGAAGAGGGCGATAGAAACGGGGTGGGGACGTGGAAAGACAGTCCTAGCCATCCCCGCCCGCCACCCCCACCCCAACTCGGCAGCAGTCACGTGGTGCCTGGAGTGGGAGGTGGGTAGAAGAGGCGAGACTTTTGGGGTGCTCTGGATCGCCAGCAGTTTTTTCAGTCTCAGCCGACTACTCTGGAGACGCGGCGCTCCGCCTGGGAGAGCAATTGAGAGGTACAGCTACCCGCAGTCGGGAGCCCCAGCGCGGGCAATGCGGGCGCCACTGGCGGCACCTGCGGCTCCTCTCGGCTGCGACGGTCGCCTTAGCGGCAGCAGCGCGGGCCACGGAAGCCTCAGCAGCCACAGCCGCTGCGGCCCGGGCAGCGGTCGCTGCCTCTGAGGCACTTGCCCGCTCCCGGCCCATGGGCTCCGGGAGGATGTGGATCCTCGGCATCGCAGCAACATTTTGCGGATTGTTCTCGCTTCAAGGTAAGAAGAGGCCCGTAGCCCAGCCAGGGGCGCGCACAGCTTCTACCCGCCTGCCCCTTCGCCCAGAGCTGTGCAGAGGTTGCTCAGCTGGAGTTTGGCAGTGACTGATGCCCAAAGGCTCTAGGAGGGAAAGTCTCCGAGTCAGGCACTCCCGGAGCAGAGTCAGGAACCGAGGATTTGCAGGGCACGAGCTACGGATGCAAGGGCTGTACCTGTTGTAAGAACGGCTGGGGAGGCGGGAAGGTCCGAGCGATGTTGGGGCTTCGGAGAGGGAGAGGGGATTGATAGCCACCAACCCGACCAAGTTGTCAGGCGTCTCCCACAACCCGTGGGAGTGGCGCCGCCGTCTGGTGAGCGGCTCTCTGGGCAGCCTGTGGCTGGGGCGCGCCCGGGCGGCGTTCCTGAGCTCGGAGCGCGGTGGATCTGGGGCTGGGACGCGCGAGCTTGGAAACCTGGCTCACCTGTGCGGAAGCAGGAGTAAGGTCTAAACTGGAGCTCACAGATGCAAGTGGAGCAGCCAGGCTGGAGCAATAAAAGGTGCAAAAACGTCTCGCTCCTTCTTTCCGGTACGCAACGGTGTTCTGAGCGAGCTGTGCAGAGCTGGGACCTCGACCCGGGACCTCGACTCGGATCCCTAGCCAAATGGTTGCCCTGATAGGCAAGAAGAAAGGGCTGTAGTGTAGTGTCCCAGGGTGCACACGCGCGCATACACACACTCCCCTCTCCAGTCACTGCGGTCACCCCTGCAGCTTCGGGACCTGCCCGGAGGCTTGGGGCGCGGGGTAGCACCTGGTGTCCGGTGTTCCCTCTGCGGTTCCCAGGCGGTCCGCAGGGAGTTTCGGAGCGACGGCACAGGAATGCTGACTTAAAAAATTAAGTGAAACTAAAAAGGCATCTGCAAGTGCAATCGCGAATGGTGCGAAAACAGTAATTAAGTAATTTATAACCAATTAACAATTAGGCACATCCTTCGGCGTAAACTGGAACTGACGCTTGTGTCTGGAGCTACTTCGCTCTCCGGATTGAATACTCCTCCTTGGAACTTCCACGTGGAAAGGCCAGGTGTGGTGTTGCACGGGCTCTTTTTTTAGTGGGTCCAGGTGTAGCGGGCAGAATTCCACTTTTTTCTGTGGGATCCTGGGTGCCCGCGCCGCCCCCTGCCGGCCTCAGCGCCACAGTGACCCTGGAAACCCTAAGAGCGGGGCTGGATCAGTGGTAAGGGGCGTGGTGTCTATTCCTGGTATCCCGGGTGGTCTCAGTAGGGACTGAATCTGAACCCCACTGCCTCTGTCCCGCAGGCTTTGCGCTGCAAATCCAGTGTTACCAGTGTGAAGAATTCCAGTTGAACAACGACTGCTCCTCCCCGGAATTCATCGTGAATTGCACGGTGAACGTTCAGGACATGTGTCAGAAAGAAGTGATGGAGCAAAGTGCGGGTAAGAGTCCGGCAACCTTCTCCGTCTCCTCTGAACCCTGGGTCTCGGGTGGAAGTGAGGGAACCATTCAATGACGGGAAAGAAACTGACTTTGATTCAATGCATACACGTTGGTTATCACAGATTCACTTTTGCAATGCTGGGAAAATGAAGAGTTCCAAGTTACTTTAATCTCATCAGACTTAATTACCAGGGCTTCCCTTTGAGGGACTTGGGCAGAAAGTGCATTTAACGAGTGTCTCTGTTTTTATTTACTCCTCTCACCTCCCTCTGCTAAAAGCTGATCAGGAGGCTGGAAAATATACAGATACCCAGTTGTACTCAGACAACTAGACAGTACCCTGTAGCAACAACAGCCTAAAATATGAAGCTAGTTGAAGTTTGCAGAGGTCAGAGCTTGAAAAAAATGTGTTTTGTCATAGAACCAGACTATATTTCTCTGAAGAACACTACAGGATCTTGATTTAATTTTAGAACACATGCATCACATTCCAGGCACAAGTTGCCAAGATCTTTGAAAGGAATGTAGTTCCTAGCACCATAAGCTCAGTGGCCAGCTGGCTGGCTGATGAGAGGGGAGAAGGGGGTCTCATGAGAGCAAACCTCCTTATTCAATCCAGCTGACCAGAGTCTTCTCACTGAGGTGGAACTCCCCAGTCCCTACCAACATTCTTATCAGAAATCAAAGTCCCTGAAAGAGCAACTGGAATTGGGGGAAATAGTGAAACTGTCATTTTGATTCTCAGGTCAAACCCATAAACAGAATTTTTCATTTTCAGAATATTGACTAGATGGGAAATGGCACCCTGTGGCGAATACTACTGACTGAACCAAAGCCCTGCCTCTCTTTAGTGTGCTGGGCTGCACTGCCCACAGAGCACGGCGAAGGGATCTAACTGCTAAATGGCCTCCTTAACCCCTGACAAATTACGGCTAGGACTATGGGTCTGAAGCCAGCTCCTTGGGAAAGTGGTTTCTCCGCGGAGAGGGGCCTGGAGATGCCTTGTTGCTAACTACACAGTTATTTGAAGAGCAGATGGCTCCTAGGTGTGCTATGATGTGGGGGCAGGGTGGTTTTAACGCCTGTTCTCTGTTGGTCCTTATCAGCCTGGGTGTGGATTATTGCCACCAAAGTCCTTTCCTGGAAAATCTGAAATACAATCGCTCTCGAGAATAACCTGTCCCAAGATAAGCAACATGCTTCATTTGTCATACGGGATTTGGCTCTTGAAAAAGTAAAAAAAAAAAAAAATCAAAACCAAAGTGATGATTCTTTAGTCAAGATTGATGTAGATGGTTTTGACAAGTTGTTTCTTTTCTACATGTTTTCTTCCTGAGCATTGTACCTGAGCAAAAGTATACTGCCCTTCTACCAAAGGAACTGCTGTGATCCATTCTGAACACTTTGTTACTTTAGAATATTTGCAGCTTTCTTCCAGGCAGTAGATTAGAGCCAGAAAAAAAGGGACTGTGTACTATAGACACATTAGGAACTTCTTCAGAATCTTCGAGGCCACTGATTACCTTGTGGTATCATGTTTTATAACATGGGATATGATGGAGCTAAGGCAAGAAGAAGGTGTGAACCAAATTCCATCCAGAAGAGGTATCCTTTTTCTGAGAGACATTCCTTCCTCTCTAAAAGTATACCTAAGGTAAATACCACACACTTCATTTTCAAAGTGCTGTGTTTTGTCTGCTTCATTCTCTTCTCCAGACTCCACTGTAAAAAAAAGGCAGAACAGACATTAAAACACTATCTTATCCACAAAAAAATTTTTAGTATAGACAGTCATAAGTGTCTGGCCTGAAGTTGCTATTAGCTTGGTCAAGGTGAGTGCCTTGTCTCCAAACCAGGTTCCTCTGGACATATGTCCTAGGCCAAGGGCTAACTCAAGACTGAAGTGATTAGGTAGTCTCAGTTGTGAAGTCTGAGAAACACACAGTTGGTGGGTGCAAAGGAGAAACCAAAAGTCCTTCCTTCTGGGGGAAGACTGCGAGTCCTGTGCACATGGAAACAGGGCATTCAATAGAAAGCAGCCAAATGTGCATTCCTGCATCAAAAGGCGTTGAGGGACAGGAGGAGTTGATAGTTCAAAGCACTTCCATTTTCATTGCCATGTAATTGTTGGAGACCAATCGATGTAAGTGACTATTAACCCTCCTCTTACTGACTGCAATGGAGAGTCAACCTGGAACTGAGTGTGAAGTGACCACAGTGCAGTACAATCATCATGGGAACAAGAGCTCCCTTTCAGTGTGTGCCCTGTGTCTGTGGCTCTTCCCTCCAGGCGGTGGGCTCTCAGTGGAGTATCCCCAGCAATCTGGGAGGCCTCTTCTGAGGCCACAACCCCCCCAGAATTTAATTCTTCTTCAGGGCCAACTTCTCTACTTTAGAGAAAGTGATGCCTGTTCAATGATACTATTAGAAATCAAAGTCAGGACTTTTGTTTGTGTGATCAGTGACACATTGTTCTGAGGATCTTTGTGTGTTAGAGCTGAAAGGGCTCAGTGACTCCCAGTTAAGGGCACATGGGGGACTCTTCCTAGGAGTTCTATTCAAATCCACATGTCTGGGTCACCCGTCCTTCACCCTCCCCCACTAGAAGCCAGGTCCCTAAACTGTGGTATACCTGATCATGGGTCTTTTATAAGTTCTACAGTTGACTCTGGTCCCTTATAAGCTCCCCAAGTGACTCTGGGATGTCCCTAAGTTGTGAACTGCTGATCTGAACCCTCCTTTAATTGTTACGGAGGAGGAAAACGAGAGTCAGAAGAGTTGGAGGTCTGATCCAAGTCCACCAGCCAGCTATTAATAAAGGACACCTGCTTCTTGGGCCAGCACCTCATACTGTAAAATATGCTGCCAGGTTTGCCTGAAAAGATAATCCAGGCAAAGTGCTAAAGACTCAGACAATTTTCATGTCTGCCAAATTCACCTGAACAGACCTAGTGAACAAGCTGAGTGAACAGGCCACAAAATGGTTATTGGAACAACATGAGAACCCACTAGAGGATTTTTAGTTTGAGGGCTCTGTGGACTGGCATTTTTCATAAATACTACAGAAAAGCAAGAGTTGTAAATGGACTAAGAGATTTTAATAAACCAAGCAAGTTTGACATTAAGCAGTAATGAAAGACATTCTCTTTCCAAAAAATACCAGCGATGCAATATGCCCAGGCCTTCAGTTAGTCCTTTCTGGATTAAAGTCTGCAAACTCAGCTCTTTGGGTTTTGAGGCAAGTACATTTAATTTTCAGTTGGCAAGTACATTTAAAATTAACCTTTACCTGTTCCCCAGAGTGGCATTCCTGTCAGGTGCTGAGATATTATTTTTGACTGCTCTTTATCCTCTTGGCCATTTCTGGAGCAAGAGGCACAGCCATGGGGTAGAGGGCCTTTGGCTCTGCCTCTTCCATTGCCCTTACTAATTGATATTTCAGTGATTACATAAGGAAGGACTTGTTCTCACTAGCTCTACACTTAATGAGTTCACAACTACTTACCAGAGCCCTTTATAGTGGCATTTCTTTTGCTCTTGCTTTTCATTGCACTCTGAAAAATATTTCAGATATTGATTTGCATTTAATAGAAGTGCCCCCACCCTATTCGAATTTAAAACCAAGGTATAAAGAATGAAAATTTGCATTTGTTTGACAGTGTAGTCTTGTAATTAGAGTGTTTCCTCTTGACTAGATACAGTGAAAGGGGTATAATTTAATTTTTATAGACTAGCCAATTTCTGCCCTTAGTAAAATATAGTTCTGTCAGTGAGCAAAATGTTACAGGTTCTCCTAAACCTTATTTAAAAGTTAAATGCAGTATATTGAGAGAAAGTTCATGGTCTGAATCAGTAACCTAATCGATCTCTTCACCCATCCTTTGCAACATGCATTAATCTATTTGTCTGTTTTGCAATACAATAGTTACTGATTTATATGCCATGTTGCCTCTGCATTATGGCTGTATAAGCAATGGTGATTTCCCTTTTGGATTAGTTAGTTGCTCCTTAAGTTGAACAGTGATGGTTCCATGCCTCAAATTGCTTAATTTTATGCCCTATTTTCTTATGAGCTAAATAAGGGACAGCAAGTAAGAACTTAATGTCCCTAAAATAATCAGTCATCCACTCAGAAAGAAATGGAAAGCTAACATGCCTTATGTTTTCTTAAGTCTATGTTCTGCTTAATTTCATCAGAATTTAAAATATTAGGCTCTAACAGATTCATAGATAGAGAATAGACCACCTGTTGGAGGTGGGGGCTGGGTGGAGGAACTGAGAAAAAATAGACAAAGAACTCATGGGTGGGGTTGTGAGGGGGTTGTGGAGGGAGACTTGGTGTGGTGAACACACAGTACAGTGTACAGATGATGTGTTATAAAGTCATGCACCTGAAACCTGTATAATTTTGTTAACCTGTCATCCCAGTAAATTCAAACATATATATTAGGTAATATTTTGTCACTGGGGTGGGCTTGGCAGGCAGAAGTGCCAGCTCTGTAATCAATATTATGTCATAGTCAGGTTACTCTGGGATTCTTTCCTCTAAGGTGTGCACATGCACACACAGCATGCCTGTGTTGGTGTGTATATTTTTACATTTGTGCCTGTACATATGCTCTTCAGCTTAAAATGGGGTTGTGTCCTGATTAACCCATTGTAAGTTAAAAATATTGTTAAATTGAAAATGCATTTAATACACCTCACCTACCAAACATCATAGCTTAGCTACTTGGTTTCTGCAGAATGTGTATTGCTTTTGTGCTTTAAAAAGTAAAAAAATAAACAAAACCCCTAAGTTGAACCATTATAAGTTAAGGACTGACCATCTCTATATATTTGCATATACATATATAATTCTTATAAAAAAATGAAATTAAGTTCCCTTTCTTTGCAGATGTTCAAAATGTTAGTTACTTTTCCCTGTTGTATTTTAGGCATGAAGACATTAGTGTTAGGCATTTCTAACATCTTCTTGTTGCAGAACAATTTCTTTAGG